TATGGAGAATACAAAGACACAAATTGCTCATGAGATAACTAGAGAGAAGACAACATAAGCATGTCAAAAGCCAAATGACAAGACAAAACTATAGCAGATGATCTGTTAGAGGGAAGCATTTTTGCTGGGTGCTGGTGGCCCACACCTGTAATCCTAGCTACTTACGATGCTAAGAACCAGAGAATTGCCTGGGCAGGAAAGTCCCCTTGAGATTCTTATCTCCAATTAACCACTCCAAAACTGGAGGTGACACTGTAGCTCAAAAATGGTAGAAGGCCAGCATTGAACAAAAGAGCTCAAGGACAGCACCCACACCCTGAATTCAAAGCCCCCAAATTGACAGACAGACAGAGAGTGTGTGTGTGTGTGTGTGTGTGTGTGTGTGTGTGTGTGTGAGTATGTGTGTGTGTGTGTGTGTGTGTGTGTGAGAGAGAGAGAGAGAGAGAAAAGCATTTTTGCATAGTGGATGTAAATAAAGGGACTATAACTTCCATGAATTGTTTCTTGACATTTGTACCTGTTAAACACCAGGACATATTTAAAGTTTTAGATTTCTTTTACTATGCAAAAGAACATTCCATAGTAGCAGTATGTTCAAATACATTCTTGAACCTTAAAGTGAATTATGTTGGACATATTCAAGTAATAAAGGAAAGATACACATGCAAACACACACACACACGAAAGTTTTATCCAGAAATGTGTATGTGCATGTATGCACAGGTAATGCTTGAACTCGGGGACTAGGTAACTGTACCTTTAGCTTTTTTACTCAAGGCTAGTGCTTGACCTCTTGAGCCACAGCGATACTTCCCAGAAACTTATTATTGGTGGTACTGGGATATGAACTCAAGTCTTCCTGCTTGCTAAGCAGGTGTTCTACCACTTGAGCATTTTATCAGCTCTTATTGTGTTCATTATTCTTTGAGATAGCATGTCACTTTATATCCAGGCTGGCATGGACTTCACTCCTACCATTTGTGTTTCCCCATGTCACTGGGATTATAGGCACATGCCACCTCTCCCAGTCATTGTGTTTCCCCCATCGTTGGATAATAGATATGCACCACCATGCCCAGCCTGAGCTGACTTCTAATTTTGATTTCTGGTCTCCCAAGAAGCTAGGCTTACAGGCGTGGGCCACTGTGGCCTGCCCTAGAAACTTTTAATAGAACAAAATCACAATGGCCAAGTACTTCTAGGAAGGAAAGAAAAGGAGCTGATATAGAATAGACAAATGTAAAAAATAGGATTGTATATGATGGGTAGCTGAGGGGACCCAGGTATGCCAGGTTAAATATTGTCACCTCAAAATCTCTATTATTTGTAGAACCTCAGAATCAGACCTTGTTTGAAAATAAGGTGGCCATAGATGCAATTAATTAAGATAGGTCATCCTGGAGGAGAGTGGGCTCCTAATCCAACATGACTGGTTTCTTTATAAGAAGAAAACAGGGCTGGGAAGGTGGCTCAGTGGTAGAGCGCTTGCCTTGCATGTATGAGGCCCTGGGTTCGATTCCTCAGCACCACATAAGCAAAAAAGAAAAAAGCCGGAAGTGGCACTGTGGCTCAAGTGGTAGAGCACTAGCCTTGAGCTGAAGAGCTGAGGGACAGCACCCAGGCCTAGAGTTCAGGCCCCACTATTGGACCCCCCAAAAAAAAGAAGAAGAAGAAAACAGAGATACATATGAACAGGGGACAGGGGGGAGAGGAAGAAGGAGGGACTAACACACATGCATACACACACACATACACATACAAGGATGCTGGTAAGAACAGAGGCAGAGATAGATCTACAAGTCAGGGATTGCTGACAGCATCAGAGATTGAAGGGAAAGTGTGGAACAGATTTTCCCCAAAAGCCTTCAGAGGGAGCATGGCCCTGCTAACAGTTGGATTTTGGACCTCTAGCGCCAAGTCTGTGAGACACTAAGCGTCTGTTTTCACAGCCACTCAGTTTATTATGACTCTGTGATAGCAACTCCAGAAACTAATTCACCAGGGCATCCTGCAGACCCCCTAGTCTCTGTCTTTTGCACATCACTGACCTCCATCGTGGTCCTCTGTCTGATTCCACTTCTACAATGACATCCTAAGACTTCTTGCCCAGCCCCCCAACTTCCTTATCCCCATCCCTGCCATCAGTGGGGTGAGGTGGATTCGCTGCGATGACACACTGGAGGTGGCCATGTATCCATGGGCCAGTTGCTACACGACCGAGTTCCCATCAGCAGCACCCGTGCAGAGTCCCGAATCCCTGAATAGCAGAGCAGTTAGTGTGTTCATCCCAGATCAGAGCAGGAACTGAGAAGAAAGATATGATATCCTGTACTTCCGTGGGACTTCAGTTTGCAACTCTGCCTCAATAATCCCAGTGTAATGCCTCCACACACAGTATTCTTGGTCCACTGGGAAGTTATTGAGTTTAATTACTTCAGTAGCTTGTCTTCATGTCTTGTTAGAAAAGACTCAGCCTGGTACATTGAAAGAGATCTTTTGTGAACTTCCTTACTGTTGGATTGGATAGGCTTCTCCTACCACTGAGATCCTGCTGAGCTATGGTTGGTGATATGAAGTTGTACAGCAAGGATCTCCCTGGTTCACTGCCCTGCAGTAGAAGACACTGGTGTCACCAATTACATCTAGCAGTGCAGAAGCATTGGATGTGAAATGTAACTAATACAGTAGCCACATGTGGCTACTTAAATTTGAACCTAGATGATTTCAACTTTGAATACAATTGAATAACTCAGCTCATCAATCATGCTCTCTACCTTTCAAGCATTCAATTGTCATATGTGGCTACCATATTTGCAAGTAGAGATAGAGAATAGCTTCCCCATCACAGAAAGTTCTCTTGGACAATGCTGGTCTGTTTGCTTTTTTGTCAAGGGTTCTACCATACAACTTCTCTTCTTTTTACTAAGTGTGATTTCCTAACTTAAAAACTGGGACTATGCCAGCTCTATAATAAGAGGAAACGTGGTTTTATTCACTGAACTGTTAGAAGTAATAAAAATATGTGTCGGTTTCTAAAAAGAGGAGGCATGGTTGGTAGACAAGTGTAATCCAAGTGTTAGCATGGCTGTCAGTCACCTGGGGATCCTGCTGGACTGGAGGGTCCTAGTGGAGCAGGTCTGGGTGGGGCCTACCATTCTGCCTGGTGCACAAACCACACCTTGACCAGGAGGAGTTGTGAAATGCACCCTGGGAGTTGGAATCCTGTTGCTGCATGGAAGTTGAGGGATAAATGCAGCAGGTAAACTTTACATGAAGGACAGAAACTGAAGGCATATTCTCTCAGCCTAATACTAGAAGAATAAGATGAAGCCCTGCTCTTCATCTGCATGTGAGGTTATGGGACAAAGGGGCTCCAAAGTGCACAGTGAATCACAGACTTCTCTCTGGCATGGCATTTCTAGACTAGATTCTTTTTTATTGTTGGTGATGTCGGTCATGGGGCTTGAGCTCTGGGCTTGGACGCTGTCCCTGTGTTCTTCAGCTCAAGTTTGAGCCACAGCGCCACTTCTGGTTTTCTAGTGGTTTATTGGAAATAAGAGTCTCACTGACTTTTCTGCCCAGGCTGGCTTTGAACCGTGATCCTCAGATCTCAGCCTCCTCAAGAGCTAGGATTACAGGTGTGAGCCACTGGCGCCCAGCTAGACTGGATTCTTGACTCTATGGCTTCCTAGCTCTGTATCTGAGACAGACTGTCTGGAGACCTCAAAGTCCTATCTGGAAAGTAGGAATAATGCTAAAGCTGTGTGTGTGTGTGTGTGCGTGCGTGTGTGCGTGTGTGCGTGTGTGTGTTGTATGTGCATGTGTACTGAGCTTGCACACAAGGCCATGCTTTCAGTCATTTTGCTCTTAGTGTTATTTGAGATAGGAACTTACATTTTTTGTAGGGTCAGATTCAGACAGTGATCCTCTTATCTTCTCCTCCAGAGCAGCCAGGATCACAGGCATGGGCCACTATGCCTGGTTTATTTATTTTTATTTATTTATCTTGTCAGTCATGAGTCTTGAACTCTGGGCCTGGACGCTGTCCCTCAGTTCTTCAGCTCAAGGTGAACACTCTACCACTTGAGCCACAGCACCACTTCCAGTTTTTCTCTGGTGGTTAATTGTAGATAAGAGTCTCACAGAGTTTCCTGCCTGGGCTGGCTTTGAACCGTAAGCTTCAGATTTCAGACTCCTGAGTAGTTAGGATTGCAGAGGTAAGCCACTGGTGCCAAGTTTATTTTTGCTCCAGTCTCAGTAACCTTTTCCCCAGACTGGCCTCAAACCACAGCTCCTGTCTCTGTCTTCTGAGTAGCTAGGATGATAGGCATGTGCAGCCAGTTCCTCTCTCATAATACAGACTGATTCAATGCCTTTGCATGTGTAAAATGCCTAGAACAATGCCTAACATGTCATGTCATAGCCCTGTGCATGGTAAAGGTATTATTAAGTGAACGTAGCAGGCTCCTTCTAAACAAGTGAATTGATTTATCCTGGATGAATGATGTATTTGCTGACCAGGAACGTATCACTCAGTTCTAACCAGACATTAATTTCTCCTTTGGGGGCTGAGGAAGGTGTAGGAAGGAGATGAGGGGCAGTATCTTGGATGAAGGATTGGATTCATGAAGCATCCTGAGTTTGGGAAAACTGATTGGGTCAAATGTGGGACCTCTGTTTGAGGGTAGTAGTCCCTGGGGGACCTATCAGTGAGGATTCACTTCTTGTCAAAGCAGCCCCTTGGTGGTTACCCTGCTTACTCCCCAGCCAATCACTGTCCTTTCTCACACACCCTTTACAGAACCTTTTGACATGGTTTACTATTGGTGGACAAAAGTCTGCATTTGGGATACATGTGTGCTTTATGAACTCTGTTGCTTACATGTGAGACATTTCCCACTGACGTGTGGCAGCAAAACAGATTTGAGTTGTTGAAGAGACTATGATGCAGGCCTCTGCCTCGTACTAATTCTGTACACCTTCTCCTCTCACCCCCAAAGCAAAGAGCCCAGCCAGCAGCGAGTCAAAAGATGGGGCTTCTCTTTCGACGAGATACTGAAGGATCACGTGGGGCGGGACCAGTTCCTCCGATTCCTGGAGTCAGAGTTCAGCTCAGAAAACCTCAGGTAAATCTCTCCAAGGTTTGAACTTGCACTGAACGTGTGTGAAGCTGTTTTCAGAATCAGCCCTGCCCTTCCCTTCCCCCACAAAAGATTGCTAGGGTTCAAATTCAAATACCAGTTCACCTGGCTAAGGTTGAACTATGAAAGAGCAAGTTGAAATATACAACTCTGCCACCACCGTGAAAGCAACTATCAACGCCAGCAAATATGTCATTCTGAGTCTGGGTCACATTGTTTAACTCTCTGGATAGGGGTCTTACCTATTAATCAAATGGATCCAACCATACTACTCACTGAGTAACACCATAGAACCGTGGAGCTTCAGAGTAGAGGAACCCTTATGGCATCTCTCTCCAAAGCTGTTTAATCCCAAGGATTCGGGGTGGGGAGAGGGGGTGAAGAGGCTTGAAAGGGTAAAAAAGCAAGAGGGGAGTTGATGAGCTTATTTCAGAGTGTTTTTTAAAAAAAAGTTTTCAAAGAAAATCAAGCTGGGTGCCAAGGGCTCATGACTGTAATCCTAACTCCTGAGGAGGCTGAGATCTGAGGATCATGGTTGGAAGCCAACTCAAGTAGAAAAATCTGTGAAACTCTTATCTCTGATTAGCCACCAAAAAAAGAAAGAAAGTTGAAGGAGCTGTGGCTCAAGTGGTAGAGCACTAGCCTTGAGCACAAAAGCTCAGAGACAGTGTCCCAGGACCAGAACAAAAAAATCATTATCATTCTGTAACTGGAGATGTAGCTAACCAAGTCAAGTAAACATATATTCCTTTTGAATAGAATTCTGTTAGTTTTGTCACTCCAATCATCTGACACTACCTACAACAGCTAGTACTTTTTCCTGATGGATAACTAATCCCTTGTGAGGGGAATGTGCTAATGATTACTGTGTACTAGGAGAAAAAAAATGAAGCATCCAAAACATGGCATCCAATGTGAGAGGAAGAGGAGGTGACAGAATAAAGAAAGAGGGTTCTTGGGCATGAAAAATGGAGGAACTGGGGACTTACTCATCCATTTACTGTGTTCCAGTCACAAAAATGTGATTTTCCTGGGACCCCTTAGTGACCTTAACAAACCATGACATCTCCATGAGTAAGGTGGAAGTCAGTCTGTCAGTCTGTCTGTCTGTATCTCTCTCTCTCTCTGGTTTTCTTTAATATGATAGGCTAATTTCTTGATTAAAATACTGTTTTATTCATTTTATTATCATTTTTTATTTTAACTATTCAGAGCATATACTTCAGGAAATAACTATCTTCTCCAAAGTGAATGTGGGAAACCCATGTTACTTGTTTGAAGTTAGAGGTCCTCTCTACCCTCCATATCACTCAGAAGATAGTTGTGGCACCTGTGTGTGGTAGCAAGTTCTCAGAGTCTGCTAAGGGCCTGCTAAGCCATCAAGACATGTGATCTCCTCTTGCAACAACCTTGTAGGTCTTTGAGGGGGAGAACACACACACACACACACACACACACACAAACACACACACACGAAACTATTACATTATTAAATGGATATAAATAAGTGTAAATTCTAAGATCATTTTTTGCAAATATTTCAAGGAGAGAGGATTCAGTGTAAGCCAGAGCAGACAAGTCAGAAGCTAGACATGGAAGAATACACAAGTCAAAGACACATGACAAAGAAGAGGCAGGAAGACTATTCTAAAGCAAGAGCTTGAATTAGCCAAGGAGCGCTTGCTCGCGCATGCATGTGTGTGCGCGTGTGTGACTTTGCATGGTTATGATCAGCATCTGAGAGACATGATTCAAGGGAGGAAGGATTTATTTTGTTCCCAGTTTCAGAGCTGATGGCCCATGATGGCTGGTAGGGCATGGCACATCATATCATGGAAGCCAGGAAGCAGAAAGAGAAGATGATACCAGTACTGTGAGCTCTCTCCTGTTTTCCCTTTTAGTCCATGTGGGCCCCCAGCAGATAGGACGGTGCTGCCACATTCAGGGCGGGTCTTTCCCCCTTTAGTTAATCCTCTCCTGACCAGCCCACCAGAGACATGCCTCGCCAGTCTCGTAGGCACTTCTTAGGCCAGTCATGTTGACCACTTGATTAATAGCTTAGCCATTAGGGTGGCAGGGTTTTATATTCCACTCTAAGCATCCCTCTGCCTGTTATGAGCCAGACAAGGTTGAGTATCTTACTTTTAGGTTATGACACAAGACTCCTTTCTTAATACTGCAGCATTCTTCTAAACATATCTCAGAGATTTCATTCGTTTTTTTGGTTTTTTTTTTTTTTTTGTCAGTTGTGGGTCTTGAACTCTGGGCCTGGGGCTGTCCCTCAGCTCTTCAGCTCAAGGCTAGCACTCTACCACTTGAGCCACAGTGCCACTTCTGGCTTCTTCAGCTTATGTGGTGCTGAGGACTCGAACCCAGGGCCTCATGCATGCAAGGCAAGCGCTCTACCACTGAGCCACCTTCCCAGCCCCTCGTTTCATTCTTAATGAAGTCTTTGTGACACACAGAAGTGCAGTGCTCACATCATCCTCCAGCCAAGGTAGCCAGCGAATCCTTATAGGCCCAACTTTATGAGCCCAGCAGCCAGTCTGTGTGCCCAGCTCAGTCTCCATTTCCACCCTTAGTATGGTACCTATGAGCCACACCTAGGATTCCTTCTCACCCTCCTCATCCCTAGCCACCTTTGGTCCCCAAGATGCAGTTGGTATAGCAGCAACTCTGCCTGACTGTTTCCCAGCCCATGCATGGGCCTCTTCCCCCTGCACTCTTACAGGGAGTCTGAAGGATGACCACCGGGTCCTCATCACTGTGAGAACTCTAGGAGCATCTACTCTCTCAGCTGCCACCTTGCCGGGTCCAGGGTGTTCATTCTGGAAAGCTACCGTGTAGCCAGGGCCACCTATGACATCAGGCTTGGTTCAGGCAATACACGTGACACAGGGCCCCACGTGCACCGGGGAGTATGGCCCTGGCAGGCGCTCAACACTTCCTGCCATTACCAGCTGGGTCTCTACCAGCTCTTTACCCAGGAGGGCCACAGTGCAATCTGGGATGAAAGAAATTTACCCATATGCATGAGAACGTGCTCACACCCAGCATGCACACATAAATCCAGACATAAAGAGGGACCTCTCTGATCCATGACAGCAAAGGGGGACATAGAGAGAAAGCATGGCTTAGGACTTCGAAAACCCTTTCTGGAGTCCCAAATTCCATGGTTATGATATCTAGCATGACTGGCTATAGAGGTAAAGTCTCGGTTTTAAGTCTCAACTATAGGACCCTTGGGTCCTCGCACGCTCCTTTTGTCCTCTGTTCATTCCTGTAGCCACAGTATTGGATCATCACCTCTCATGACCCAGGCCCCAAGGATTTGGAGAAGATCGGTTTATGGTTCACCCAAGGTTTCCGTGTGTGGCCAGGCAGGTGTATTTCCGCTGCAACCCTGCACAAGCATGGCAGCCCAGGGAACCGCATAACGTGAATCGCTCAATTGAGGGTCCTGCCCTTTGGTGCTGTTGGCTCTATTGCGGTTGACCCTTCTTTCAGGACTGGTCAAGAGCTCAGGTTGCTTGGATCAGAGGATTAGAGGAGGGAAGGAGAGTCTGACTCAAACCCAACTGGATCTATTCCAACCTGCCTCCCCCACTTGTGTCCCGCATCCCCTCACGGAGTGTCTGAGAAATAGCCGAGCTGCTGAAGGGGGAGGGAGAAGGAGCCCTAAAGTGTCTTCTATACCATTCAAGTAAAGCAGTCTCTGCTGGTATAAAAATCTGACCTTTCCTTCTGAGAGAGTCTGAGGTGCGAGAGGGCTGCCATCCCCCAATGACAGGCTTCCTGTCCTTGTGAACTACCCTGAGCCCAGTGTGGGACCCCGCAAGGCAGCTGTCTGCTGGCAGGAAGTGCGGAACCATTTCATTCTTCAAACAGGAAGTGTCACCGACTCATCACCGGCGTGGTGACTTTTCCAAGCACGGTGACAGTTACCAGACACAGTGTCCCCTGTACAAACCTTTGCCTTCCTTGGCTTGACACCCTCTGTGGTATGGCAGGGTATGAGTTAAAAATCAAAACCTGCAACAAAGAGCATGTCCCCCCCCCACTCCCACTCCCTCCCCGTACATTTTTTATGAGCTGTGACGTCGTCGCCTGAGAGAATGGAGTGCTTCTTCTAACCTGCAGATTGATGATGCTAGGTCCACACTGTGTCAGCTCTGTGAAAGGAGAGGCAATTAAAAGAGAGCCCAGGGGAGGTGCCAGGTTTGCCTGGAGTGCTCCATCTCCAGTAGTTGCCCCAAGTCCTTAGGAAGACCTCCAAAGGTTCACTAGGCCCCACAGAATCCCCCCCTCCCGCCCCACCACTAACCAAACCCATGATGAATGGGAGTCGAGTATCTCCCACAATGCCTTGCACGTTGGCAGCCATCTGGCCACTGCCCAGGAACAGAGCTCAGCTTCCATGGCGCCTCACCATGGTGGTTGCCAGTGAGAAATCTCAGCCCAACGTGAGACAAAATTGTTTAATCCACTGTCCTCCACCCCTGGCTGGCCAGCAGAGGACACAGAAACGCTTCCTTCTGTTGTTGAATTTGCTTATCCCCAGAACAATGCCAAAGCTGTGTTTTCTAACTCCTGGAAATTCTACTTTGTGAGAAAAAGCAAAATAGGTAAGCTGGTAACTGAGGGACTGCTCAGGCCTCTGAGCAGGCTGGAGAGGATGAATGACTCCGGGTTTCTCTTGCTCCAGCCAGCCTGTCAGCATTCAGGAAGAAAGGAGACCCACATGGTAGTCCCAGCCACCATGATGGCTCCAGCAAGTGTTTCTTTCTTTTTTTTAATTTATTTTTTTGTGCCAGTACTAGGGCTTGAACTCCAAGTTTAGATGCTGTCCCAAGGCTCTACCCCTTGTGTCACAACTCTACTCCCAGCATCTTGGCGGTTAGCTGAAGGGAAGAGTCTCATAGACTTTCCTGCCCAGGTTGGCTTCAACCTATAATCCTCAGATCTGAGCCTGAGTATCGCTCAGATGACAGACATAAGCCACCAGCGCCTTGCCCAGCCAGTGTTTCTGGAGCCTGGCTGCCTTCCCTCAAGGCTGGTGTCCCCACCTACATTCATTGCTAAGCCATCAACACAGATCAAATGCCAGCACATGGGCAGGTGGCTTCCTGCTGATCAGAGGATTGGCAGGGGGCAGCAGGACAGGTGGTCTTCCCACACCCCAGAGCCCCCTGTGTCCAGGCCTGCGGCCCTCTGCTGCCAGCCATGGGGGCTTAGTGCAGGATGGGTGGATTTGACGCTGCGGCTGCCATTGGAAGCCCCTCCACGTCCTCAGAGGGACAGGGCCTGCAGGCTTTTGATAAGAGCCAGAGCTTCTGGAGCCTCAGTGGGCCACCCATGCGCAGTAGCTATGCAGAGAGATGCTTTCGTGGTTCTTTGGGGGAGGGAGGGTTGGCCTGAGCTGGGAGCTCAGGACTGTGCAGCTGGAAGATAGCAAACACACACTGGAGCCTGTTCTGAATTTCAAATGGGCACAAAGGGTTTTTCAAAGCTGTGATGGTAAATACATATGGGGCGTCAAGATGCTGCTGTGACTGCGGTTTTGCTGTCGTCTGGGAGGGACGAGGCAGGTCATGTCCAAGGCAAACAGAAGGCTGGGCTGCATCCCTATCTCTGCAGGGAGAGAAAGCAGTTGAGAGATGTTTCCCTTACTCCTTACCCCTCTTCTTCCTTCTCCCCTTTCCACCTCTCCTCCCCTTCTCCCCTTCCTCCCATGATCCCAGGTGGAGCTTTTGGATCAATCCACCGTTTTAGCTAACAGAGGAAGCCTCTGGATTTGTATGTCAATGTTTATTAAATCTGGCCCACCAGCTCCCGCCTTTCAACCTTCTCTATACACAAAGGGAAGTCTAGAGAGTCATCAGAGCCTTCCCAGAGGGGCTCCAAAGCGCCTCCTCAGAGCAGACTAAAGCAAGCGACAGAGCTGCCAGAAGATGGCATCCCACATGGCATTGACGGAGGGGACAGGAAGTCACTCAGGGGCGCCCATCGCTGAGACATCGCAGGGAAGGACGCTGATCTGGAAAGTTGCTTGCAGCCAGACAGAGCCTCAGCCCAGAGGCAACATCCTGGGCGGGCCGCTGTCCACCTGCCCATGGGCAGTAGCAGTGTGTGCTGCAAAGCCCTCGTCCCTCTACAGAACAGTTACACGTTCTCTTCTCCCTGGTAGTGGAAAGAACATGATGCAAAAGCCCTGGGGGTAGAAAGTAGGAGGGCTGGAGTTGAAGGAAGGGGATGAACTGAAGCCCCTTTGTACAACTACTTAAAGATAATAATCATTTTAAGAAGAGAGGCAGAAGATGGTTGACAGCGTTAGCAAGAGCCTGGAAGCTCCTGGAGGAGGAAGCTTGAAATTTGGGGTCAAGCCGGGAGAGTTGAGCCTGTGGGTGTCACTGACCCTCCTCAGCACCCACGCATGCCTTTGGTAACTGAGTTAAGTCTGGATGGGAATTTTGTAAGCCTAAGCTTCATCTGTCTATACTCCCTTGGTGCCAGTTTCACAGATGAGGATTGAGCCACCTAGAAAGGTACATCAAGACATCATCATAACCAGGCTCCCCATTGTTCTTATCAAGGGCCGTTGTCGCCTTCCCTGCATTTCTCTTGGTTCTTCAGGATCCATGAGAGAGCTGTGAAGGTTTTCATTAAGGACATCATCAGAATCCTAAATCAGGGGGAGACCTGGAGTCCAGCATTCATTATGAAAACCAACACAGATCTGTTCTTGCGGAAATGGGCCTGCATTACCCCAGTCGGCCACTGAGTGGCGCCTTCAGGCCATTCATTTGACATGTCTGAACAGCAACAGGAACACATGCCTAACCTTTTTTTTGTTTTTTAAATCTATTTTATTATTTTTTTCCCCTCAAACAAGTGCATCTTGCTTTGAATGAAGCTCAAGTACTTTCCACCATGTGTGGTTTCAATTTCTTTTGTCATCACCTTTCATTGACTAGATTAGCTGTCAGAACCACCTATCATTGGACCTAGCCTCTTCCTGTTGGGGAATTGGTTTGTCCAGCTCTGGTTCCTCAGGACTTGGGAGCTGCTGTTCAGGCTGTGAGTGAGGTTGCTGCTACTCTCAACAGAGAGATGCTCATAGGAGGCTGTGATGATGGCAGCTCCTTGTCAAATGCTAAGGGTGATGGGTAGAGATTTTCCCCTGGTCCTCTCTGGAGAATCTCTTGGTAGGCATGTCTCTCATGTATATCCCATTGTGCCAGACAAGCCCACCCTCCATCTATATGTCATTATTGTCCACATACGGTAAGCCCTGCACTATGTTAAACACAATTGTCAACAACTTGATTTATCTGTCTTTAACACCAATCTCAACCAGGTAGGTTTTTTTTTACCTCACCAAATGCATCTGGCAACACCTAACTTGGGGAGTACAATGACATCTAACGAACACAGATCATAGCTGCTGTTTAACATTCTACAAGGCATAGGACAACCCCACTACTGCCACTTTTAAAAACAAAAATCACCCATCTTGAAATGGCAATGGCACTGAAGCTGAGAAATCTTTGGACTTTTGTTGGTTGCCAGGAGTTTGTTGATCTTCCAAAGAGTTCTTTGTACTTTCTGAAGTCCCTCTCTCCCCCTGCTCCGTGGTCTTTGTGACCCATATGTGGCATCAAATTATATGTAGCATTTGCTGGGTGCCCAGATAGAATTGTCTGTGTCTGCTTTCTGTTCCAGGTTCTGGCTGGCCGTCCAAGAGCTCAAAAAACAACCCCTCCAGGATGTGGCCAGAAGGGTAGAAGAAATCTGGCAAGAATTTCTGGCTCCAGGAGCCCCAAGTGCCATCAACCTGGATTCTCACAGCTATGAGATAACCAGTCAGAATGTCAAAGATGGCGGCAGATACACGTTTGAAGATGCTCAGGTTTGTTTCTCTACTCAGGATGGTTCTTTTGTAAGGTCTTCTTTGTCCCTTTTAACACAAGTCCAAGTCCAACTGATTGACTAAGTCAATCAGTAGAAACCATCCCCAAATGGGCATATAGTGAAACTCCAAGATTGTTTTCATTGTTACATCCAAACAGAAGTGTATAATTACACGTGCTCCTCAGCGGATGATAGATGGAGTGAATCATCCTGCTAAACCCATCATAAGTTGAAGTATCATAAGCTGAAGATGCATGTAATCTATCTATCAAAGCTGAGCATACCCAGCACCCCGTAGGTGACTAGATGTGTCTCTGCATGAGGATGTGGCTGACTGGGAGCCTAGAATCTAAAGACAGGATCACACTGCATACTGCTAGTCCAGAAGAAGATCCAATGTTTGAAATATAGCTTTCATTGAATGCCTGTCACTTACAACCTCTTGTAAAGTCAAAAAACCAAATTCCAATCACTATAAACTGGAGACCATCTGTACATATTTGATCTTTTCCAGAAAAGTCTCAACATGTTTTGTAAAATCTGAAAACTCCTAACAGGTCAGTAGCGACTCTGGAAATGTAGAATCAATAAAATAGGTAGATTGAGCTGGCAGGACAAAGAGACTCAAGTTTGTCTGGAATCCACCCTCATAACCACCATAACACACATATATATGTATGTATATATATATATATATATATATATACACACACACACACACACACACACACACATATGTATATGTTTACAGACACATGTGGAGGGGGCTGGGCCCTATCCGTGAGCTCTTTTGCTTAAGACTAGCATGCTACCACTTTGAGCCACAACTCGACTTCCCATTTTTTGAGTTGTTAATTGGAGACAAGAGAATTACGGGGACTTTTCTGCCTGGGCTGGCTTCAAACTGCGATCCTCAAATCTCGAGTAGCTAGGATTATAGGCATGAACCACCGTCACCTGGCTTCAGTTCATATATTTTTAGCATCACCATAGTCCAGGCTCTGGACTATCTGATGAGATGCTGCAGGAGCAGACAAAAGCCCCTGTCCTCAACAAGGTTATGGGTGAGACCAGTAAAGGGACCATTTCAGCCATCTGAGAAGAACCCACAGAGGTGGACACCAGGGCAAAAGCAAACCTATAAGAGGGCCTGGCAACCCCGCAGGGCACCGTTGGAATGTTCACAGATGCTGTAGGGGCTGACTAAAGGACCAAAGTCACAGAAACCCCAAACAGCAGGCCGAGAGGGGCCATTTCTAAAGATAAGCAGCAGATCGCTCTCTTACTTCCTGCCCCATGATTTCTAGGTCCTCCCACCTCACAGTCGTCCACAGGGCTGCGGAGCTGGAACTACTGTTTGATTAACTAGTTCTGAGGTTCATATAAGCAAGGAAATAGACATTTGATTCTTTTCCTTTATAACTGCTAGTGTAACAAGAACTTTGCTAACCTCTAACCATGGTGACCAGTTAGTAATTTGTTTTGTTCTTTTTTTCTTAATGTTTTTAATGGTAAAAATAGTATACAGAGGGGTTACAGTTACATGAATAAGGTAATGAGTACATTTCCTATCGAGCATTGTTACCTCCTCTTTTGTTTTTCCCCTACCATCCATTCCCTCCCCACCTCCCCAACCCTCCCCCCATCCCAAGTTGTAAAGTTCGTTTTCAACATAGTAGATTGTACATCTCATTGTTACAATAGGTCAACCTGTATCCTTGTTTCAGCATTTTGTTATTTCCCTTCCCCTCCCCAAATTAGAAAAATGTATATACAAGATGCAGGGCACCAACATCAAATACAGTGAAAACAGGGGTTATACCACGGGGGAAGAACATACAAAGAAACCAAAAAAATCACATAGTACCTTTTAGCTACATTAAAAACAATAGCAAGAAGAGAAGATAAGTTGTGTCCCTATCTTGGGGTTCATTTCACTTAACATCTTGTTTTGTTCTTAATATACTTGTAAACTTAGGAATACTTGTAAACCTACGTGCATTTGATTTTTGTTGTTGTTGTTGCATGTTTTGTTTTGTTTGAACTCAAGGTCTCTTGCTTGCTAGGCAAAGTGTTCTACCAGTAAGCTATACCATCAGCCCTTTGGCTTGTAATTTGTTTTTTAGGTACAGTCTTATTCTTCTTGTGTGTGTGGGTGTAGGTGTG